AAGCAATTATTGAAGAAGCGCTGCTAATACAGTAATACTCTTTCACCGCTCTTATCCTAAGAGAAATATTTAATTAAATTAAAATTCAATTAAAATTTTGTGATATTAATTACGTAATATTCACAAAATTATCTGCTGTGATAATGTATAATAATACATTATTAAGAGGGTATTTGTTATTTGTTTTTTTAAATGTCTTGTTATAATTAAAAAGTTTAATAGATTCTTTTGTTGAGAGATATAAAGATTAACAAAATTAATTGACTAGAGAGATTAATGCAATAATGAAATAACATTTTATTTAAATAATAATTATTAAATTCTTTTTATATTTTTTATAATAAATGTGTATGAGAGAGAAAGAGAGTGTGTGTGTATAGGATCTATACTTTGATTTTTAAGCGGTTTTTGAAAGATCATAAATAACCTTTTAATTTAACGAGTTTGAAAATTTATAGTTTCAATTGCTTTAAGCAGCAATTAGGAGTTGAATTAAATCGTGTTAATTGCAGCTTGACTGGTTTGATATTCAACCTTTTTACGCAATAGAATGTGTGATTGATAGACGGAGTCCGCGTTGCTCGTTGGCTTGGCTGATTATTGGATCGTAATAATCAGAATAGATGAATGGATAGAGAAATGCTAGGCAGACGATTTGAGAAATTATGATGATTTCGAAAACAAGACTCGTTAAAAATCTTTTAATGTGTTTTATTTCGATTAATTATAATCAATTACACACGTTTACATGAAAAAGATATTAATTCCTTACTCTTAATTTATTTTTAAATTTTCAGACTTCAGAAAAATAAATACGCACACGCACAACACACATACTTGTGTTTTTATACATATCACATAGAAAAAATTGTACAATACGTATATATATATATATTTTTTTTTGTCTCTAACTTTTAATTATTAGATTAGAAAGTGTTGTTTTAATTTTATTCATTTCATTTTTCTCGTCACGTAATTATTGTAACTGCGGAAGGAAACGTGTGGTCTGTGGTGTCTTATAAGGAACGTAAATTAGCTAATTATCTATTCATTGAGGTTAACTACTCGTAATTGTGGACCTGGAAATGCAAGTGTCCACAACATATATCAAGTAACCACATTTCCTCGGCATTTAAAACTTATTCAACGTTGAAAATAGCGACTTTTTGCAATTTTTATTATGTGTGATTTGCGCGAAACGGCATATAGTGTTTCTCTCGCAAAGAGAGAATGATTGCTTCGCGACTATAATAATAGTAATAATGATGATAATGAAAATGAGACTCTCGCGGACAACGCCGTGTCAGCGAGAAATGTTTTCTAATTATTATTGTTTATAATTAATAGTTATCTGGCTGTCTGAAGGCCAACTTTTATATCAACGACTTTCCGCCTTTCCCTTTTCGCCGTTTCCGTCGAGACTTTCGCCATTTCCTCACTCTCTCTTTCTCAGAGATCCGGGGATTTTCTCTTGCGATTTCGTGGCGTGTCGCCTTCCAAAGACACGCTCGCGCACGGATGAACGGATCGCGTAATCGTGGCGTTATTAATCGGGAAATCGTTCCGCTCGATGATTAATAACGGAACGGGCGAAACGGTTCAGCGGCAAATCGTGACTACATTAATCGGCTACTTCCTCCTTTCTGAAACAAATGGTAAATGTGGTAATGTTCAATGTCCCGAGATGCACATATCGTAAACGCGCGATGTACGATATCTAATTCTGAAATTTTTCTTAATTGCAGGATAGATTCGTGAAACGACATAAATGTTTAAGAATGTGTGTAATATGTCAAAACATTGATAAAAGCATGAAAGTTTCGTAGACTGCTCTACTATTTCTTCTGAGTATTTGTGCAAAACCTGCACAATATATCAGGTCTACCGGAAAGTTCTGTCCGTTTTTGGAATAAAACAAAATACAAATTTTTATTACCGTCAATAAACTTTATTAAATAATGTAATTGCCATTATTATTAATGATTTCTTGCCAGCGTGAGGGCAATTTGTATATCCCATTTTCGAAAAATGTTTTATCTTTTGATGCGAAAAATTGAACCAGTGCTTGTTTGATATCTTCTTCATTTTTGAATTTTTTGCCCCTCAAAAAATTTTGTAAGGACAAAAACAAGTGATAGTCGGTGGGTGCTAAGTCCGGGGAATATGGTGGATGCGACAGAATTTTCCAGCCTAGTTCTGCAATTTTTTGACGAGTATCCAAAGCAGCATGTGGCCTGGCATTATCATGATGCAGTATGATGTTCTTCCTATTGTACATCGCCGGCCTCTTTTCTTGGACTGCTGTATTTAAATTATCCAGTTGCTGACAATACTTCTCCGAATAATGGCAATTACATTATTTAATAAAGTTTATTGACGGTAATAAAAATTTGTATTTTGTTTTATTCCAAAAACGGACAGAACTTTCCGGTAGACCTAATATTTCCTTAAGTTTGAAAATTATTTAAATTTAAAGTTAGTATTGATTCTCATGGAAAATCGCGAACTGTAGCACTTATTAACAAATTTGACAAGGAAAAAATATTGCCAATGAAATAAAAATTTTCACATATATTAAGAAATCTCTAAATATTTGTGCAATACTTGATTTAGATCCGTTTACTCGTTTAAAAGTTATTTACTAAAAATTGTAGAAAAATAGTATTTCTCTCTGTCTTTCTTTCAGCAAATTATTCGTTTTTTTTTTGTTTCTTGCAGTTAATTTCAGGAGATATTCACGATCAAAAATTTTTGTCATAAATTAGGAAAAATATTAATTACAATCATTTTCTTTTACGATGATGTTAAAAACCATATTATTTTGTGATACTTCAATTCTTTTCATAATCCAGATTTATTTATTTGATTTTTCAAACAATATAAACGTAAAAAATATGTTTTTTTTATTTTGACAGTTTTTTGCTATTGTACAGCCAAAACATCTTTAAGAGCATTTTTATATTTTATATTTCTTTAGTTTTTTTGATGGTTATTGCATTTTATTATATTTATTTACAATATTATGATTATATTATCTTATTCTTGTTTATTATATTTCTAATTATAATGTATTTTCGATATTTTACACCTAGGATTATTATTATTATTTAATTATAATTAATTTTGTCGGAAAGTTCTTTTATTCAACATTTGCATTTTTTAGAATTACATTTGTTAAACATTTTATTTAAAACGCGAAGCAACCGAAAACTTATGTATATTTTTCTTTTCATTAAATATTATATTTCTTATAATATTCTACTTGTTCATATTACATGTCATTGATATTCTCTTATGAGATATTGGATACAATTATATAAAGAATAGTAATACAACATAGAAAGTATAAAATTATACGAAAATGACAGAAACAATTACCATCATCCATTCTTGATTTGGAAATAGAAGGATATCTCTTCAAGCATATTTTCCTCTTTCCGCTCCAATTTGTAGAAACATATTGGTTGTTTCCATTTCGAAATATTGAAACTTAATTAGCCCCGGCTAATTAACCCTATACTTATATCTATTAGCGCCTGCGAATGCGTTTTGCGTTACACGCGAATGCGCCTCGCCGGTGCGCGATTAGCGCGTTTATTGCTTTTTTTTTCCTCGAGAAAAATCGTATCCGCTGAGATGTAATCGCCGACGAAATCCGGTCTGTATTATCGCGGTCGGGATTCCTTCCTTGGGGAGTGCGGAAGCGTTAATTGCCGCATTATATGTATATCGTAAAAATGCATGGTCGACGCCTACCGGCCGCTTCAGTCGTTGCACTCGCAACACAATGTGGAATTACGACCCGTAAAGTGGACACACACCTCTCAGTAATCAGTGCGAACGAGTGCAACGTGTGCTCGAAAAATCTCGTCCGAGACATTCGAAATTGGCGATTTCTCATTGGCCGTACTCGTGCGAAATACGTGTGTGATCACGTTCCCGTAATCTGTGTCGTTTCTTTCACGAAGGCTATCCCTCTTCGATCTAGCCGCCGCTGAATTCGCGATGCGAGATAAGAGACGGATCGGTGAAAGTAATTAAACAGTCCGTTTGGGAGCATCGAATGCATCGTTCGCGGCGAAACTTTTAACCGCTCGTTACAAGAGATCACCGCGAATGATAGGTTGGCGTTTAATCGAGCGAGCGAATTATTGCATGAACGGTCCCGTCTAATCATTTAACCGTCGGAATCCCGTACAGGGTTTTATCCTGGGAATTCTAAGAGTACGTTTACTACTCTTCGCTTAATTTATTTTTCACGTTACAAATTGATTTTTCTTATTAATCCTTTATTTGCATTTCGAAATAAGCGCGTTTAGAAATATTGAATAAGTTCAATAAGGTATTGCAAATATCAAATTATTATACAGGATGTCCCAGATCATTTGGGACAATATTCATGTGCAAAAATAGAGCGGACCAAACTGAGTCGAAAAGACCTCTATAATTTTTTTTTTATAACGCTTAATACAGGAGTTATTATTGAGTAAAGTCTGGCCAATCAGCGCCAACCTTTAGCCGGGCGCACGTTGTTGAGCAGCCAACGTTAATTTAGCACGTTGGCTAAAGGTTGGCGCTGATTGGCCAGACTTTACTCAATAATAACTCCTGTATTAAGCGTTATAAAAAAAAAATTATAGAGGTCTTTTCGACTCTTTGAAATATTTCGATTTATTTTTTTGCAATCTAATTCTTCATATACATCACAAAACAAAGATTTTTTTAAAACTTTTATTGTGAAGATATTTTTTTTTGCGTAAAATCTTTTCTTTTTAAAAAAAGGAAATCTTTACGCAATAAAGACTTAGGTTTGGCTCGTTCTTACTCTATTTTTTTAATAAAAACTTTGTTGCAACTATGTTATCTTGTAATTCGCGAAGGTAACAACTTGTGTATTTTAATTTATGCTTTAAACAACATCTACGAGTTGTGCTTAAAAAAAAAAAAAGAAAAAAAAACGGCCGTGAGTAATCGGAGACCTCTCCGTGTTTTTCTTTCAGGCCGTGAAACTGGAGTCGGTGCATCCAGGAAGGACGCGATATCTTGTCGTCGTCTCCTGCACGGGAAGGCAGGACGAGGAGAGCTGCCTTCTCGGTATCGATTGTCACGCCAGGGCGACAGTCGGTCTCGTGCTTCGAGTTTTGGCCGACACCGCTATCACTCTCGATGGCGACGGGTAAGTCGAGATTGTTTCTCTCTTTTTTTTCATCGCTATTCCTATGCCGTCACATCGCGAAGAATATTATGTTCATGCTATTTTTTGTAATATTCTCACAGCAATTAGCTCATCTCAATGATTACTCGCGCAAATATTCTATTTTTTTCATTTTTATTTATTATTTGTTATATAATTAATTATTCACTGTAACGATATTAAATAAATAGCTTATATTTTTATAAAGGGTGGTTCAGAATTTATTTCAATTTGCTCAAACTATATATATATATATATACGAAACAAATGACAATAGTTTCCTAATTATGTAGGACACTATATATGATTATAGATTTTTTTTTTTATAAGAATCCATTAAATTTTCTTTTTAAGCGTCAGAGTAAAATGTCATTTGAGATACTTGATTAGATTTTATTATAAATTTTCATGATTGTTTATAATATAATATGGAATTTAAATATAAAATAAAACGGCAAAAGGATATTATATTAAGGCAGGATCTAATGTCCACGCACAATAACTGCAGAATGGATAAACATCGTCATTTTATTACGTCATGAATAGTGCGAATATGCATTTGCAAATGCAACAGAACGTAATGTATACCGTATGGTGACCTTCGCATCAAATGTCTTTCTTCTTTGAAATTGCAGACAATTAAATAACAGTTAGATTAACACACAGATCGTACTGTGGGTATATCTCTTAAACTTTTTATTACAATAATATTAATGTGTATATAATTAATGATAAGAAAAAAAATTATTATCCATCTTGTCTACGCTAAAAAAAAGTATTGATAGACATTTAGAATATTCATTTTCTCTTTCTCTCACTTTAATTTTTCATGGACATTCTCTTATGGATATAAAAACGTAGAATAAAAAATCTTATATCAGAAAATAATTATATCAGATATCCTGTTATAAATTATTATTTAGCGCTTTTTCAATATTTAATATTAAACATTTTTTACATCGGATTTTACAGATGAAATTTCTCTTGACACGAAAATCCTGTGAAATTAATAGAGGATAAAGCTTTATTATCTACTTACAGTTTTATGCTTGTATATATTACGCGCGTTTTAGAGTTCTATAATTTTTTACATTAAATACATTCGCAATTATATCTGTTATAAAATTTCTCCATTTTCAATTTTTTATTCTCTTATGGATTTATATAAATGCAGAATATAAACCTGTTGTAATTATACAAGATATTCTGCCATAAATTATTAATTAGTGCGTTTTTAATGTTTAATGTTATAAATATCTTGGATTTAAAAAATGATATTTTTCTTGACGTGGAAACTATATGAAATTAATCGAAGATAAAATTTCATTACTCATTTACATTTTTATACTCTTATATATTATGCGCGCTTTAGAATTTTATATTTTTTTATATTAAATACATTCCCGATTATATTTTCTATAAAATTTATATTAAGTATATAAAAAGAAAAGCTCAATCAAAAAATCAGTGGCTGAATAGAAAGACGATACTTTCGAGACACTGTGTGTAGATCGGACACATTCCGTCTCATTGAAATCTCCGATGATTCAGACATGACGTTGACATTGCGCTGCTTTATATCCGGCAACAGGATCGATCAACAAATATTTTCAAAGCACGCTAGTGCACGCGGTTACTTTCTAACGGCTGTGCCAACTTGTCTAATTCCCTCCACTTTAAAATGACTCACTGCCATGGCTCGCCAGACGTTCAGACTGAATTAGTTGTACCGATAATTAGCCAAATGGCGGCAGCGACGGCATACACGCCATGAAATGAAAGGAGAGTATCAGTGGGCGTAGATAGCAATACATCGCAAGTGTGTGCGTGTAAACTTTGTATATGATCTGCTTACCCATAACTATAATGTAGACAATGCAACCCACGTAGACAATGCTTATGCATATATGCTTTCTCCTCCTTTCTCCCGTTTTCAAAATGTAAGTTTTGTTCGAAGAAATGAGGAAAAAATTTCATTTATTACATGCTTATATAATAATTACATTTTTTTACGTCAGATTATTGTGGCGCCTGATTCAATATCTGCATCTGTAACGATATCTCGAAGTATACAATATAATTATACACAATTTATGTATTCTGGCTTACATATATACCGTCTGTATAACTCCAAAGTCTGTTAGAAAAGTTATTATTCTTTTGGAATTTTAATACGATTTAGATAGAAGAGCAAAAATTTATATTTTTTTGTAAATTTACATTGTCAAATCTCTTTCTCTTTCTCTCGTATAATCAATTGCGCGTTTTTATTCCAACTTATCGACATAATATATAACACCTTCTTCGTAAAGATTAAGAGCGAAGGTCGCCACCGTTCTCTCGGGCGTAGGGAAATGGAGCGCATTACCGTAAGGCAACACGCGTGTTGGGGAGCAAGGCACTTGACAGGTGAGTACCAAGGTTATACGATGGAAGGTCGCGACATAACTTGCGAAATTGAGACGCCAAGTCAAACTGTACAATTCAGCGTGATTGTGTACTGCATCTACCACAATGCAATATCACAATGTGTGAATCACACATACACACATCTTCAAAAGGAGGGGTAATCTTGTTATAAATGTAACATAGCATTAGAAAGTAAAGTATAAAGCTTGATGTTAATTAAAATTGATCTCAAATTAATTGTGAAAAACTATAACTGTAAGAAAATATATTTCCGTATTTATAATATATATATTTTAAATACAGAAATTACTCGAGATAATATCAACGATAGAAAGGTTATACTGATAAATTGACTTAATCAATCAATCTGTTATAATATATACAGAGAGAATGTGTGTTAAAGATATACTTTTTTATCAACGAACAATGAGATTTAAAATAATTAAAATAATATAATTGTGCATTTATACTTATTTGGATAATTAGGAATTTGGCAAAAAAAAAAAAATGTGAGAAAATATGATATTTTTAATATAATTTTTTCAATTATTTCTTGAAATAATTCTCTTATATTAAGAAAATTCTGAGCACTAAAGAGAGCGTTGCTTAAAATGCTGGGCTGCAAAAATTGCTAATCTGTGTAGAGATACAATTACATAAAATATTGGATGATTGCATAAGTTCGTGCCCGATTTTCATAGATGGCATTAAGTTACTGCATGGCGGAGTTCTATTGTTTTCGTGTGGTAATTGTTAAAATATAATCTATTGAAGTTTATATTTAAATCGGGCACGAACTTATGCAATCACCTGATACGATTGTTTACATTATTATTGTTTCTTGTAGACATAATACATGATCTCTGTATTTATTGATAGCTATCTGTCATATAAGAGCTCAGAGATAACAGTTTTATAATCTGAAACAACAGTCGAGACGCCGATATATCGGAATGTCGCAGTGAAAGGGTTAACGACCGTAGAATTTTCGTATCAACGGCGACATTAATACCAACAAAACGATCTCTATCGCGTCTGGACGGTCTCGAAGCTTGCAGTTTTTCGCGCGATTAGAGGAGAGATCGGGTCGACACTTTGTCCGTGGCTTTTCCCGATCGTCGCGGGCGCGAAAAGTCCACTCACGCGAAAGCACATTGACTGGGCGACGCTCGCTGCGGCTGGCGTCCGCTCTCGGACGAACGATTCTCGCGAAATTAACGATGAAGGGATGGATGGACAGACGGACAGGCCGAGATATGCGTGGCGAAGGGAAAAGGAGAAAGAAAAGGATCCTCCGGGTACAGGAAAAGAAAATGAGCGCGAACGTCGGTCAGCTCGCGTTCCTACGATGTCGATGACCCTCGAGGCGCGGACGATCATCTCTCTTCTTCGTCTACGGTTCTTCATCCGCCTCTCCTTTCTCCGTCTCTCCTCCTCTCGATACGGCTGTCGCGAGAACTCGCTAGAGTTCTTTTCCGCGCATTAGAGTCGCGCGGATTCCGTCGTCGCTCGCTTTCTCGATCGGTCGATTTGAACCGCTACTGCCGCCGATTGCAGCACAACAGTCTTGACTTACTTAATCTCGAGCCAGCCACTTGCTGTCTCTTTCTAGGCTACTGTCTTATAACTACATATAATGAAGTATAGATAAAGAAAATTTAGTTGACCTGTTAGTTAACATGTTCAATGCCGTAACGGCCACGGTTCACCGGCCTCATGATAGTGTCTTATTGATATACGCATAAAGCGCAACCGACTGCATTCGGTAAATTACATGTGTCGGAGAGCAAATTAGACGAAGTAACGAATGATTGCGAAAGCTTGCATTCATTTTCCGTAACGCACAATTTAAGTAGATTTTTATAAATTTAATCTCGGAATCCACGCAGCATTATAGTAAAATCAGATCAGCTGACTCAGTGTTTTCGTCATCAATCAAACAAATTAAACCGTCATGATGCATTCTATTTTTTTCAAAGTTTATTAACGTCACGCAATGTAATCATGACTCAATATATAAAATTGTTTTTCTTTCAGTTTCATTTTTCAACATAAAATTCAGATAAGGATAATCACATTCATCTATGATATTTCTAAGGATTGATATTTTAATTTTAAAGTCTTATTACACATATATCTTACGTAAAATCTAAGTAGGCTTTTCCAATATCAAGAAATTTCTTTACATAATACAGGGTGTCTACTTCCTGGAAAAACATGGAAAACTGGGAATTCTCATGGAACTTTATCGGGACCTAAGGAATTTAAAAAAAAAATTCTCTCTTTAATAATTTTACTCTTATACTATAAGCAGTAGGCAATCCGCCGATAAACCAAGTTGTGAATTATGTGTTTAAAATATATTATAAATATATATCTACAGAAATATTTCTGTTTATATATATATTCAATGTCTTAACAAAATATTGAATATACAGTACATTTTCTTTATTTTAATTTTTAATAATAAAAAATGAAAACGTTATACAAATTAAAAATTTTTATCTTAGTAAAAGCTATTCAGTTTTTTTCAGTACATTTGTAAATCTAGCACTTGAAACTCAAGTGGCTTTGTATTTTTCCTTCGTGAATGAAAAACATTAGAAAACGCGTACAATAAAAAAACTTATTTTAAGAAATTGCACTAAAAAATCTTTGAAATATTTTTTTTATCTGGAATTTTGAATAAAAATACCTGAATGATCAGGGAATTTTTAGGGAATTTTTTACAAGATTTAAATAGACACCCTGTAATAACTTATAAGTCGGGAAATGTTGAATCATAATGTTATTACGAAAGTGTTGTAGAACGATATAATGCTGCTGTATCGAAATCTCAGCTAAGTTCTCGAGAAATTTTTTTTTCTTTCGTTTACACCATGTGGTTCAATTTTTCGAGCGATGCAATCTCGAGGAAGCAGAAAACCGGCCATAAAATTCGTCTGTTGGAATGTTCGTAGAGGGTAACTGTAATCGACGAGAGAGGCGAATTACGATCCGAAAGCAGAGGAAGGAGGGCGTTCGCTTTACGATCCGCATGATAACGGTGCGAGCCGGGTAATTTCGGGGGGAGGTGGATTGTATTTTTTCCGTTCCTTTTATACCTCCTCGAGAGGGTAAGAGATCTGTGCGTGAATCTTCGATGCTGTTGTGTGCAACGTACTGAAATTCCGAAACGGCGAGGCATTTTTGCGTTAACTGTTCGCGACTGCGCGTTTAACGCTCGCGGCGATGATTGATATAATTCTTCTTCTTTTATTTGATCGCTTACATAACTGCAATTTATCGCGAGCAGTTTGGTTGCGTAAAGCGCAAATTTTGGTATCACGCCTTACTGCGCGGCTAACTGTTTTCGCAGTGCACAAACAACTTCAAAAAAATCAAATATATATGTTTGAATTATGGAAAACAAATGTGACCGATTTATTAGATTGAAAGTTTTATAATAAAATGCTAAAATGACAAATCTTTACAAATCATATTTGTGTGTTGAATTAACCGTGTTATTATACTTTACACGTATATTTAGATACAATATATTGTGCATCTATTCAAATATAATATATATAGTTTTTATTATAAAATAATATATATAACTATACCCAGACAGCACAAAACGTCCTCAGGATCATCCTGAATATGTCCAGGATGGTTAAAAATTCAATTTTTAGTAATTAAATTTTTTAACGAGTATTTCAAATAATTAATTAATTTTTGATTAATTAATTTTTGAAAATTAATTTTTGATCGTCTGCAAGTCAAAAACTATGGACGTGTTAATATTGTGCCCGACATTAAATAAAATCTAATTTTGTCTTTATAATATTTATATATATAAACGATAATATACTTCAAAGAGATCCCGTATAACATGTGACGATGACAAACGCGAGTACCGTTTTCTTTCTGAAAAAAGATGATAGTGGAATCGACAATGATTTCTCAGAAATCTTGTCAGCATCGATTTACGAATTGCGATGCTCGCGCGGCGCGATCTCATTTACATAATACATAATTAATGGTTATGCGTTGAATGCGTTCCTCCCCCCACGCTCTCTCTTTCCATGTCGTAATCGCGAGAGAATTGTATTACCGTTGCAGTTTTGAAGCGACGATCGCTCGATCCTAACGGCGAAATCGCCACTTTGACCGCCCATCAGATAATCTGTTCAATGTTGAACCAAGAAAAATGTTTTAAATTGCCCTTATTTAAAACTGATAAAACTACATTGAGAAAACGGGAATTTATAATAGAAGCAACTTTGAAAGAAAGTTAATTTATATATATAAGCATTTTTAGAAGAACTCTAGTAAAAGTAAATAATGCCAAAGTCACTTTTCGTGCCACTAATAACACTGGTCGACAAAATGAAATCTTTTTTTTCTTGCCTTAAGTTCTATCAAATCATCTCTGCTAGATTTTTTAGCGCTGAATATGAATCTGGCCGTACAGATAGCATATCGCGTCAAATTTTTGAGAAGACCTCAGTCAAAGCTGCTAAAGTAGATGTTTTTGATACTTTTACATGAGTTATATCTTTGACGTGGACGTGCTTTAGAAAGCAGTGACAGCTCAAAATAAAGCTCAAGACTTATACTTTATGATAAAAATGCCAGAAGTCTCAGGCAGAAAAGATTTTCCTGAGAAAATATGTAAACATAAAAAATATCATTTATCGCAGTGTCCCTCAGTCATACGTCTCTAATTATCCGTTATTAAAATACTAGTGCCAAAAACTACTCTAATTTTGTTCTTAAGTGATAGCGATCATAAAAACCTACAAATACTCACTTCCATGATTTGAATGCTTTTCCAAAAATTTGATCCGTCATTTTGGAGCCTCCATTTTAAATTTTGAAATTTTAACATGTGATTCGTAATAAGTGACCAGGCAAACGTATACATACCAACTTTCATGATCAGAATGATTTTTTTTTAAATTTTAGTAACAAACAATTGGAGACGTATGACTGGGGACACTGCGATAGATGTTTCTTATGTTTCTACCACTTTTTTTCAGGAAAATCTTTTCTACCTGGGACTTCCGGTATTTTTATCATAAAGTATATATTTTGAGTTTCATTTTGAGCTGTCGTTGCTTTCTGGAGCACGTCCCCATTGAAAGATATAACTCACGCAAAAGTTTGAAAAACGCTTATTTTAGCAACTTTGACTGAGGTTTTCTCAAAAACTTGACGTGATACGCCATTTTTACGGCCAAATTCGTAATCGACGCTAGAAAAATCTAGAATGGCTTGATAGAATTTAAGGCAAATTTAGTGTTGGACAGTGTAATTTGACATTTAAAAACAACTATAGATGCAATGACAATTGAAAATATCAAGGAAGCAACTAGTATGAGATTTCTTACAAAACTCAAATCAAGTGTCATATATATGTGATTTATATGACGTATATCTTTAAAATTCCAAGTTTCGAGGAAAGAAGTAAAAAAAATATTTCTTTATTTGTCATTTATCTTATTTTATTCTTATATTGTGTTACTTTTTATTCAATTGTAAGTTATTTTACTCATTGCGAATTAGGTAATTAATGAAATAAGAACATCTTATAAAACAAAGAATTATTGTCTGTCTCATTGATAAAATAGGATGATACTTTATATAAGGATAACCATTATTCAGTACATTGTGGTTCCTGAAGATCATGGTGATTTCACTTCCGGATTTCTTATTTTGCAGGGGTTTCAAGGTCAGTGTTTGCGGCCGTCAACACATCTTTAAGCCGGTGTCCGTTCAGGCCATGTGGTAAGTCTGCATCTCTGATAAACGAAACTGGTTTCGCAGCAGCGTAAAAATGGAACGAAAAAAAGTAGCGGCACTGAGACTTTTTTATGTTTTGCGTAACGGCTGTTTAATACGTGCTATAGAGTACGCTTTTGATATTAAATTGGCGTTTGTATAGAGAGTCGCGCGCGCTGATGTAAGGCACAAAGTTAATTTTAGTACAATGTATACACGATATCAGAATTTTTATTCCATTTTTTCCTGCTCGTTAAATAAAATAATTTTGAATCTCTTTCTTCCTCTCTCCTTTTAAGGAGCTATTAAACTTTTATGTAAATATTTTTTGTCGGGCCGGTAGTCTCTCAAGTACAATTGATCAATTATTTGCTGGATGTACAAAAATGTATAATTAACATTGATATTTCCATATGAGGAACCGAACAGCGAACCACGCGATGTATAATCTTGTAGCATTCGATATCTTGTTGGTTACGCTAGGCGAGCCACGCGATTGGAAAAGAAGAATCATTGTCGCAGGTTTAACAACCGTGGCTAATAGATAATGTCGGTGTAATTACATGACGGATGAGATCCGAGACGATTGTCGTTCGCGAAAGATACGTCGGGCGAACGCGAGAGAATTTTAAACATACACGCGAGTAGCGAAATTCTTCATATAATTATCTTTAGATCAATATTTATCACAGATGTAAACGTCGAGAAATAAGTGAAAACATTAAATGAGAGAAAAAATTGGTTATAAATTTATTAAAGAATTTTTTATTAAGAAGATAATAATTTTTTCGGGACACTTTGCATAATCCATATTCTCAAAAAAAAAAAAATCGGATAAAAATATTATTGGGAAATAAATAGTTCTTGATAACGTGCAACTTGTGATTGATCTTTGAGATGGATTCGGTTGATGAATTTTTTTTTTAACACATGACTTAAGGATGTTTTGGCTATACAATAGTAGCAAAAAACTGACAAATGTAAAAAAAAAAAACATTTTTTACCTTTATACTATTTGCAAAATTAAATAAATAAATCCGGATTATAAAAAGAATTTAAGTATCAAAAAATAATATGGTTTTTAACATCATCGTAAAAGAAAATGATTGTAATTAATATTTTTCCTAATTTATGACAAAAACTTTTGATCGTGAATATCCCCTGAAATTAACTGCAAGAAACAAAAAAAAAACGAGTAATTTGCTGAAAGAGAGAGAGAGAGAGAGAGATAATATTTTTCTACAATTTTCAGTAAATAACTTTTAAACGAGTAAGCGGATCTAAATCAAGTTTTGCACAAATATTTATTAGAGTTTTCTTAAAATATGTGAAAATGTTTATTTCGTTGGCAATGTTTTTACCTTATCAAATCTGTCAATAAATGCAACAATATGCGATTTTCCATAAGAATCAATACTAATTTTAAACTTAAATAATTAAGAGAATTGTGCTCAGGTTTTGCATAGATACTCAGAAGAAATAGCAGAATAGTTTACGAAATATTCATGCTTTCGTCAATGTTTTGACATATGACACATACATCCTTAACAAACGAGACCATGTTGAATCGAGTTCTGGATACCATGTGTCAAATCATAGTCTATCTAAAATTTCTATTTTGCTATGCTTTCACAATGCATGTATATACATATATACATACATATATGTCAAATACAACGGCAGTGAAGTCTGCGACGCATGATTCGGGGGTGGGAAGATGACGAAGATGTTATCAATGCGGAAGAGGGCTCGCGAGCAGTGCGAAAAAGAAAAATTGGGCGTGGGCCGTGGCTTAATTGGTCGACATCACAATTGCCCGACTGGACAGCAGGAACTTTCTTGGCCGCCCAACCTCTTCCGGTGCTGTATTTTTCAGTGCAGGCATAAACACTGCCGTCTCTTCCCACACGAATCGATTATATTCAATCTCTTTTCTGAATTGTCGCTTTGATTAATCAGCAAATTGTTCGGAAATTGTTTCATCGAATTGGATTACTGCAAATATTATTCAATTTTCACTTACATTAAGATCGCCTTTTATTTTATATACAAGGAATCTTATAATTGAAGATTTTATAAAATAATAAAAAATAGCCTGTCGCTATCAATTGTTACCAATTATGGAACGTTCGGAGAGAAACAGATTTCGCTATTTTTAATCGCACTAAAAATTTACAAAGCGATTTGGATATTAGAAAATTTATATATGTATATCTTGATTGCTATTGTCTTATTTAATCAAAAATTAATTGAAAAATGATGAAAAAAATTATGAACAATTTTAATAATTAGCGCTAAGCTTATTCTATAGCACATATTGCATATCTGAATTGAATACATCGGCTAATGACTATTATAGTAGGCGTCATCTCCTTATTCGTCCTATTCGCGTGACCTACGACTTCAGATTTGTTATTTCTGGCATTGCCGTGTGTCTTGGACGATGTGTGCCTGGATTATAAATAGGCTTGCCTCCAATCTCGTGCGCCACATGCATTAGCGTTAACTGTGTCGATTTTTGTAAAAGCGTAATCGGCTCGGCGTGCGTAGGCGCGAACACCTTTGATATCGACCGCAGCGTGAATTTTCGTAGGTGTACTCATAGATTAATTCGCAAATTGATTTATGTTTTTGTATGCACTCGAATCTTTAGATACGATGCTCTCGCAACGGTATGGAAGAAATAACAGCAACGAATAGGTACGAATTTTAGAAACGAAAGGTATAAAAAAAGAAACACAGTACTGCCAATACAGAGATATTTTTTATTAACCATAAAGAAAAACAGAGAAGATAAAGAAAAATTAAATTTTTGTGTCAGTTTTACTCTTTTTTTCTATCTTTATTTTTCTCAGATAAAAACTGTTAACAGAACGAATTCCCTTAGAAGTAAAATCGTACATTTTGTGGAAGTAAAAAGTCTTTTAAAAGTGACAATTCTGTCTCTTTCTCTACGAGTTAATATTTAAAATTCAACTTTACTAAAAATGACAATAACGTAGATTCGATAAAATAGATTCGATAGGAATCGACAAGAGTGAACGCATTACCTCTTTTAATATGTCTTGCACTATGCAAATTTACGCGAGGAAATTATTACGATTCAGATCAACCACTGCGACGAAAACGCTTGTCCACTGTAAAATTATTACATTTTGAAGATTGATTATAATGCGTGATACGTCGTAATGCGTTTTACACCACGAGGCGAACGCCGCGACGTCGAGACTATCGTCGGTCTCCTTCTCGTCGACGTAGACGACGTCGAGACGTCATCGTCGTCGTCGTCCTATTTTTGGAGAAGCCTCGTTGGTCTCTACCATTGCACACCGTGGTGGGGTTGGTTACGATCATGGACCATCGTCCGCGCCATTTATGGGCGCGTCGCGACGCATGGTCACTCTTTGTCGAATTTTACCACGTGGTCGCGCGTGATATCAAACAAACCCCCGTCGGAATCACGTCGCTTCCGCGTGCGTATTTTTTGCAGGCGACTATATTTTTGCGCTTGATTTTTTACATAAGAACTCATACAGATTCTAAGAATTATAATTTTGTTAATTTTTATTATATTAAAAATGACTATATTATATAATGTCTGCTGCTTATGAGACTCTTTTTGATGGACTTAGCACTTTAAGTTTTTATAATAAAAAAATTGAGAGAATTATAATAAGAGCTCATTTTTTTAAATATTTACAAATACATTATTAATGCACTATATATTGCATTTGTAATAATGTTCAACGTAAATATTGAAGTATTAATAAAAAGAGAAAGGGGAGGAGAGAGAGAGAGAGAGAGAAATATTCTTACAATATGAAAATTTCATTAGCAGATAATATGCATTTAAAATTTAGAAATATAAGTAACATGTATGTTATGAATGTACCATGTGACATTAATATTATTTTATCCGTACTAATTACTTCTAATTACTAAATATATATAAATAACAAATGTGATAGATAATGTAATGAGATGCATTAATTATAAGAGTCTAGCTTCAAAATTTGCGGTTCCAATTACGTCTCATCATTAGTATAATACAAAGGTTGTCTACTGGTGTAAGTAGATCTCTTGTTGTCCTATAATTTTTTTTTTCAAGTATGGGGTGATATATATAAAGGCTGTACCGCGATCTCTTGGCTTCCGTTCGCTCGTGTGGGTGGTCTGTCTCTTCGCAGACGCAATCCACATATATGTGTTGAGACATATGTGTAGATCTCAAATGCATGATAGATGGCGCTGGAACGGGCGCTAAAAGTACTTAGATAGTGCACCAATCCTTTTTTTTTTTTGTTTGCTTAATGAGTGTATACGCTCTGTCGAGTCACGCTGTACGAGTATTAGGAAGTCTTACATTAAATATATCTGTTTTTTTTCATATCCATTACAATTACTTATCACCCAAACAATATGTAATTGCGAACGAACGTATTTACTTCGCTTCGACTTCAAAGCTTTTTCGTTACAGATGGTACCTCCTCCCCGATTCTAAAACTCGTCTCTTGTCAAGTGTGAAATATAAATGGGCTTGGTTCAACAGTCTCGATATTTTCTTTGCTAGACGATGTGCATAGGAATGCTGACGTTCGTCTTAAATTATTTTTTATTCAGGGTATCTAGTCCCTGGAAAAACATGGAAAACTTGGAATTCTCAGGGAATTTTTTGGGAAAACCTGGAGAAATCAGAGAATTCTCATGGAATTTTATTGGGACTTAAGGAATTTAAAAAAAAAAATCTCTCTTTAATAATCTTGCTTTTATATTGTAAGCAATCTACAATCCACCGATAAGCCAAGTTGTGAATTATGTATGTGTTTAAAATATATTTATAATTATATATATATATATATTTATTTTTATTTATATATTTAATATCTTAATAAAATATTGAATATACACATATTCTTTACTTTCAGTTTTGTTATTTTTAGTGATAAAAAATAAAAATGTTATACAAGTTAAACATTTTTTTGTTTTAACAAAAGCTATTTAGTTTT